AACCACCTAAACAAAAGTTCTTTGGAATCTTTAGTCTATAGGGGTCCTAAGATAATAAAATTGAAGAAGTACTGATGCAGAACTAAAGAAAACGGATTCTGGGGGCCAGCAAGTAGCACAGTGGTTATGGTGCTGAATTCCCACATGGTCAGCTGCAGTCCTAGTCCTGGACCTGGCGGCTTGAAATTCACCCCTGCTGTGTATGTTGCATGCCCAAAATCCCAGGAGGAGAATGGAGAAGGAATTGTGGTGTGGGCATTGCCCCTGGGGGTGATTTCTCACTTTCCCTCTCATTGTCTCTTTCCTCTCCTGTAAAACCCTAAGAAAGAAAGAAAGAAAGAAAGAAAGAAAGAAAGAAAGAAAGAAAGAAAGAAAGAAAGAAAGAAAGGAGAGAGAGAGAAAGAAAGAAAGAAAGAAAAAGAAGAAGAAAGAAAAAAAAAAAAACAAGCAAGCACGCAGATTCTGAGTAAAAAGGCCTAGGGTTTGAGTCATAGATCCATCCCTTATTAGCTGGAGGTCTTCACTCTGCCTCCCAAGGGTTATTTTTTCATAAATCTAATATATATAATAATAATACGTACCTTAGAGGTAAATAGGAGTGGTTTAAGGATCGAATGAACACCGGAAGGGGAACATTTTAACTGACTACCTGGCACAAGGTAAGTGTTGATAGATGTTGGTTCTGTTGTGTGATCATGGTTAAAAACCATTGTTGACGATGAAAACATCGATAGCAACATTTTCAAGGCTTTTAAAGTATCTAATTATCTTTTCAGGATGGAACCCCACTGCTGGCGTTTGTGGCTGAAGTTGCAGAACAGATCGTTGGCATTGCGATGATCAGAAATGAAATGGTAAATTGTGAAACGGGTATCTATTTCCTTGACTGCCGCTTGTCATGTTATGAATTAGCGTACAGTGCTCTTTTTTTTTTGGAGAGGTTTAGACTATAGGGCGCGTGCGCTCGCCAGACAGACAGAGAGAGGCATAGAGACAGAAAGTGAGAAATCACCCCCGAGGGGGGATGGTCATGCCGCAATCCCTTCTCCTCCATTCTCCTCTCGGGATCTTGGGCACGCACGCACACGCACCCGGCGTGAGTTTAAGCCACTGGGTCTGGGACACGAACCACGGTCGACTACATGGGGGTCCAGCGACATAGCCATTACACCAACGGCTGGTCCCCCTTTTTTTTTAAAAAAAGAGAGATTTTTGTTACAGGTCACATGTGCTTGCCAGGAAGACAGAGATAGAAAGCAAAAATCTCCCCAGGGAGGATGGCCACACTATAGTCCCTTCTCCTCTATTATCTTTTCAGGATTTTGGGCACGCATGCACGTGCTCCTGGCGTGAGTTTCAAGTCTGGGACTCAAACCATGGTTGGCCATGTGGGGTCCAGTGACAACCATTACATCATCAGCTGGTCCCAACCTTTGTCTATCTTTTTTTTTTTTTTTTTTTGGGGGGGTTTTCGCTATAGGGCGCATGTGCTCGCCAGACAGACAGGGAGAGACATAGAGACAGAAAGCGAGAAATAAC